TTTAGCTGATGTCTTGCTACTTCTAGCTGATGTCTTGCTACTTCTAGCTGATGTCATGCTACTTCTAGCTGATGTCATGCTACTTCTTGCTGATGTCATGCTACTTCTAGCTGATATGCTACTTTCAAATGATGTCATACCACTTTCAAATGATGTCATACTACTTTTAGCTGATGTCATACAACTTTAATCTGATGTCTTGCTACTTCTAGCTGATGTCATGCTACTTCTAGCTGATGTCATGCTACTTCTAGCTGATGTCATGCTACTTCTTGCTGATGTCATGCTACTTCTAGCTGATATGCTACTTTCAAATGATGTCATACCACTTTCAAATGATGTCATACTACTTTTAGCTGATGTCATACAACTTTAAACTGATGTCTTGCTACTTCTAGCTGATGTCATGCTACTTCTAGCTGATGTCATGCTACTTCTAGCTGATGTCATGCTACTTCTAGCTGATATGCTACTTTCAAATGATGTCAATACTTTTAGCTGATGTCATAATACTTTTAGCTGATGTCATACTACTTTAAACTGATGTCATGCTACTTCTAGCTGATATGCTACTTTCAAATGATGTCATACTACTTTTAGCTGATGTCATACTACATTTAGCTGATGTCATACTACATTTAGCTGATGTTGTACAACTTCAAACTGATGTTGTACAACTTTAAGCTGATGTCTTGCTACCTTTAGCTGATGTCATGCTACTTTAAGCTGATATCATGCTACTTTTAGCTGATGTTATTCTATTTTACAGTCATACTTTTAGCTAATGCTACTTTTAGCTGATGTTATGCTACGATCAGCTAATGCTATGCCACTTGTCATATTATTCTTTATTAGCAAGCATTTTGCTTCCTGCTTCTTATAGCATTTAGCTAGTGCATTGTGCATTTTAGGTAGAGTTGTGTTGCTTTTAGCTTTAACATCTAATTTTCAGCTTATTTGGCTGTCAAAATTCACAGAGTAAAAATTACATTTCTCAGGTTGTTTTTTTAATCAGCAGTTTTTGCAGACTGCTGAAGAATTTATGTTCATTGTCAAATTTCTGGTAAACCCTCTAATCAGTTAAATGACAAACTTTCTATCACCTGTACACCTGCTGTCACCAGACCGTTGGTTCGATTCTGGTACAGAAAGATTGCTTCTAACATCCCTCTGGACTCCCCCAGCATCCACTTACTGGTTAACTGAAGCAGCGCACGTGCCTTAAAGATGCTGCTGTCAGGTAGAGAGGTGCTGCACAGGTAGCTGCCCTCGTCCCCTGCCTTCACGCCATCGAACTGCAGACTCCCGTCTTGCAGCACCGCGAGACGTCCGTCAGGGTTCGTCGAACTGTCGCCGACCTTCTGTCCATTTTTCGTCCACGTCGTCGACCAAGGTGCCGCGCTGCCGCCGGTGAGACACGACAGCAGCACGACGTCTCCCGGTTCGGCTGACACGACAGTTTCGGTGGGGCTGTCGTCCGAAACTGAGGCTGAAACGTGGAGGGATAAAAACACGCGCGTTAATTAGCACGAGGGAGCTTTATTCAGACTCACCTGTGATTTGTTTTTTTTTTTTTAATAAACTCACCTGTGGCAAGTAAACAAAGCTGTAGAAACGCTACAGTTGCGGCTAAGTTCATGTTAACTTTCCAACATCGCCCTCCTCAGAAATAAACGAACAAAAGGTTTTCGGTTCAAACCTGTCGGACCGGTTCACCTGTGACAGGGAGCTCGTGCCTACGAGACACGCACGGACGCAGAGGACACCTGTGAAGCCGCTGTAAAGCCCGGCGAACAGAGCCCAGACAGAACCAGCAGAAGTGACCCGCTGGACATGTTGGACCACCTGTCTGCGTCTCTACAACAGATCTGGACCGAACTGCTCTGTTTACACGAGCATGCTGGACCGGAAATCAGGAATAAAACCACACCTTGGAGTTCACCTTCTTAAAGGTACAGTAACATACTTTTTTTTTCTTGATAGGCATCACTAATTTTCTTTATAAGACAAGAGTTCAATTATAAAACCTCATCAGAGCAGTATAATACCAATTTTACTGCTTTAAAATGACCCGTAATGTTTTCATTTTGAGACAGTGCTGCTTTTCTCATGTAGTTAATTCCTGGACACAGGCTGAACAACAGAAGGTCTGAGGATAGATAGAACCACAATATACATTTTTAATTTGACTAAAAGCAGGACGCAAGATAAATGCAAAGTTTGCCATAATTTATCATAGAACTTTAGCCCATCTCAAAACGTGGTTTGCATATCCATCTTATTATTGTCGTGTGCCTGAATATTTAACAATTTACAAAACTCCACAAAAGGCCTTTTTTGCTAAATGAGGGTGTCTGAAAATGTTGTGTGTCAACTCAACAAGTGGGGGTAAAGGAAGGACCAATAAAGAACACGAGATCAGTCAGATCGGTCCACCTCCTGGGTTCGGGTGTGTGCGGCCTCCATTAGTGGGTGGGTGCATGTCCTGGACCTGGGGGGTATAGAGTGTGTATCGGGGGTATGAGTGGAATGTGGCGTCCTTGTACGTCTTTGAGTGGGGGTGAGGATGAGGGTGGGATGGTGCGATTGTGTATGTTTGGGTATTTGTCAGGCTGCGGTCTGGACTGCCCCTACTGCTGGTTTATCTGGGGGCCCGCCGCTACTCGGCCCCCCGGTGGGGTGTGCGGCTGGCCGCCGGCGTCCTGGGGGTTCCCAGGGTCTGGGGGTGGGCGCTGGGGTGTGTGCCGGCCTGGCCTGGTGACTGCCTGTTGGGGCTCGGGGCCTCTGGGCCTGTCGGGCTTTGGCCTGGGGGTGGGGGTGCGCCCTGGGGGCCCAGACCTCTGTGCCCTTTCCTGGATCTGCTTTGGTATGGCGGGTGCCGGTGGGGCCCATGAGTTTGTCGCTGCTGGCCCCGGGGGCTGTGCGTGTGGTCGCTGGGGGGACTCACCCAGTTCTCTCCTATGGTCTGATCTAGGGGGTGGGTGGGCGGATCTTCCCGTGTGGGTGCCCCTTGGGTCTCTGCGCTCGGGATTCCTCTCGGGCCCTTGGGCTCTGGTCTTCCCTATGTCTGCCTCGTGTCTTGGGGGTTGGGTCTCAGTCCTCCACGGTCACTATTAAATATTCCATTGGAGAAATCTTGTATATACACGCATGTTCACAACTGCTCACAAACAGGTGTTCTGATCCGGGGGGTTCTGACAGGTCACTGAGTGTGTATATATGTCTGTGTGTATATACTGACAATATTTATGAATGTAGGCACGTATGTATGTATATCTTTATATATGTATGGGTATGTGTATATTTTTATATATGCCCTCCATGTATTTATCCATTTATTTTTCAGGTGAGCGGACAGATGTTGGGTGTATGGTCCTGTGTTTTGTTGGTGTATATTTAATATACTTCTAATCGCTATTTCAGTCTATCTTTCTTTCTAATTACTTCTCTCTCTATCTCTATTTTCTCTTCACAAAAAAATCATAATGGTGTGGAGAGGATGGCTATAAGGGGAGAATGGAGGCCATCCCCAAAAAAAATAAAAATAAAAATAAAAATAAAAAGAACACGAGATCAGATTGACATTTGTTTTAGCGAATCAAACTCCACGGTGTGATGTGCAACTCCGCCCTCTGGTGGTCGCACGTAGCTAGTGCGGTTTGTCCCCTTCAAATGTTCATGTTTTAATGGGAAATAACAGCTTCCTGCAATTTGCCAAAGCATCTCCAGTTTGTTTATATATTTATAAATGTATCTAATATATATGATAAATGTAATATTTTTTCCAAATTTAATGTTTCTTTTTTTCATATAAGATCGATAAAACTGTTTTATATTATTGTGGATAGTTTACTTAAAAATTAAAAAATGATAATTAAAAACAGTTTTTAACATATCTTATACAGCACAAATAAAAATGTCTTTTTAATTATTTTTAAGTGATTGTATTAAATTTCTTATATTTTTATTTTAGCTAGGAGTTTTGTCGAAGCGTGCGCCAACAGTTCCCAAAGTTTCAGACGGTACGCGAACGCAACACCAAAGTCAATAAAGAGCAACGGTCCAGTCTGTCCAGACTGAGCAGCGCCTGCGAACAGACAGAAGCATGGCCGTAGATCTGAGCCAGTGGTCCGGGCCTCTCGCCCTGCAGGAGGTTGAAGAACAGCCCGCGAAGCCTCTTACAGTTAAATACGAATCTCTGGAAATCGACGAGCTCGGCAAAGTGCTCACTCCAACACAGGTTAGGAGCTAGCTGAGTGGGGGTTAGCCAAACTATCGAGTAGCTGAATCAATGCTAACAAAATGCTAACACCCTTATCGTCGCTCTATTATTTTAATGGGCGTCTGTAATGGTTTGGTAACAATGAGTTAGGTTACATAATGCATTCAAGCATACCTCCGGCTGTTTAAGCTTTTTTTTTTTTTTTTAATCTGTGCAACCCTAGACGTAACAGCGCCCCCAAGCGGATGCTAGGTAGAAAAACGCTTAAGTCGAGGTTAGGATAATGCAAAAGCACCTAAATTTTTAATTCCTGTTGAACGTTTTACTAAAACGAAGTATGACAAACATTTGATATTATCATCTCTAACAACAGCTCTGACTTGAACTCCTTTTCAGAAAGTACAGAGTTCCAGATTTAAATAAAATAAGATAGCTGCTGGCAGAGAAGTGACCTCGATACCATTCCTCTGCAGGTGCAGAACCGACCTACCTGCGTCGAGTGGGAAGGATGTGACCCGAGTAAACTGTACACGCTGGCCTTGACCGATCCAGACGCCCCCAGCAGGAAAGACCCCAAGTTCAGGTGAGGGGAAACTTTTTTTCATCAAACCAGATGGAATGGATTGTGTGACGATGTTTCTGTTTTGTGTTATGTGCTGCAGGGAGTGGCATCACTTTCTGGTGGTCAACATGAAGGGGAATGATGTGTCGTCTGGCTGCGTCCTGTCGGACTATGTGGGCTCTGGTCCTCCCAAGGGAACAGGTACAGTGAGACCAGGACAAAGATTAAACAAAGTGCTAAACTAACCAGTAATTATATTTAACTTTTATTGAATTGGACATAATTAAAAGCTTCAGTGTTTTCTTCTTTAAAAATTAATGTCGTGGATACATATAGAACAGGTCTTGGTTAATTTCCTGCGCCCTCAGGTCTCCACAGGTACGTGTGGCTGGTGTACGAGCAGCCCGGCAGCCTGTCCTGCTCAGAGACCGTCCTCACCAACCGCTCCGGAGACGGCCGCGGCAAATTCAAGCTCCAGGCCTTCAGGAAGAAGTACGGCCTGGGAGCACCGGTGGCAGGAACCTGCTACCAGGCAGAGTGGGACAGTTACGTGCCCAAACTGTACGAGCAGCTGGCTGGAAAGTAAAGGGAAGGCACTCGACTGGAGATTATCCACATCCTGAAATCACCTTTCTTTACCTGCAATAAACCTGCAGAACTCAGCTTTTGTTGTTGGGTGTGTTCCATCATCTTAGATCCAGAATAGTTCACAATATCAGTATTAGTTTTGCAAACTTTAATTTATTGATTCATCGGTTCATAACCTGAGGTAGTATTTAGCAACAGTTTGCAATAAGATTAAGCAGAGAGAGAATAAATCCTCACAAACTTTAATGTTTCCTCCAACAGGTGACCTTTGTTTCATTATACGTTCAGAACATTTTGCTCCTGCAGTCTTTGTCTCTGAAGTCTGACCGTAACATCACAAGTGTGGTCATTTACAAACATTTGACTGGAAGAAGGTCACATTTAAAGTTGGGCAAAATCGTATCGTGCAATTAATAGTTAGAAAAACGAATCAATAATTTTCTGTCACTTGATTAATATGATCAATGCCACCAGGCAGACTTCCCCAGTCAGTTCGCTCAGTGCTCCTCTCCGCTTCAAATATGACGAACATTTAAAAAAATGGTTCTGTAATTTATATCTGGTTTTACTTGTTCTATCAACACAATTTAAACATTGATCTTGAAGTTTGTACTTTGGACACAATTTGGAGGAAATTTTTACAAACTTTTCATCTTCTGACCCACAAAATATTCATGGCAAAAACTTGTGAACTGGTCTTAGTACACAAACTAATAACCCTAAAAACAAAGGCTACACAAACATACTTTTTTATACTTTTTTTGTGTTTTTGTAATAATTATAGGGAAATGTTACATCACCAATTATTTTATTACACTTTAAATAGATTTCTGAAGTGCAGTGGTTCCCAAACTTTTCAGCTTTTGACCCACAAAATAACAGTAGCAGAGACCTGTGGCCCCCAACTATTTTTGGATGATAAACATTTGAATCAGGTCAACTAAACATGGGCATAGTAACAATATTTATTATTCTACATTTACACATTTTAGGCAACTAAGGCAAAAAATAATTAATTTAGAAAATCTTTTCTGGACCCCAACTTTGGTAACCACTGCACTAAGAGTGATGTAAAACGGTCATGTGACTAGGAAATGAGGCGTCCAGGGATTAATCATATCATTATCAGCTAAATACTACAGTTAATTGTGATTAATATTTTTACCAATATCACCCAAAGCTGGTCAAATTATGAACTGCACCAAATTATGTTTTCCTGATTTGTTCGTCTACTAAATTCGAGGGACCCCCTCATAAACCCCACGCTGTTTTATAAGATAATTTACTGTCATAAATGCCATGGGAATATATTATTTTATTTAGTTTATTCTGTTTGTTTTATTAGTTCATGGTTCCCCATGCATTTAAATAAAAAAAAAAAAAAACAAATTAGTGAAAATTTTTGAGAACCCCCAAGATACCTCTAGGGCAGTGGTTCCCAAAGTTGGGGTCAGGACCCACAGTGGGGTCCTGAATCATCAAGGTGGGGTCCTGAAAATATATTTGGAAATAATTACACAAAAAAATGACAAGAACAACATTTTTGCCTTTGTTGTCGGTGGCACGACGGCTCAGTGGTTAGCACCGACGCCTCACAGCAAGAAGGTCCTGGGTTCGATCCCCGGTTTGGACCTGGGGGTCTTTCTGTGCGGAGTTCGCATGTTCTCCTTGTGCTTGCGTGGGTTTTCTCCGGGTACTCCGGTTTCCCCCACAACACAAAAACATGTACAATAGGTTGCCTTCAGGCCCAGGCCGCCCTTGAAAAAGAGATCTGAGATCTCAATGGGATTTGCCTGGTAAAATAACGGTAAATAAATAAAATAAATAAATAAGTCGTAGCAAAACATAAGATTAGTGTACTTAAAATGGACAAAAATAGCGTAATAAATAATGTTACTATGCTCTTGTTTATTTGATGTGAAAATAATGTTTATCAACCAACAACAGCTGGGGGCACAGGTCTCTGCTGTTGGTATGTTGTGGGTCAAAAGCTGAAAAGTTTGGGAACCACTGCTCTAGGGAACCCTGGGGGTCCTGGGACCCCAGTTTGAGAACCTCTGTACTAAACTATCAATGCATAAACCAGGATGTACTCTTCTGATGCGTTAACATTTAATGCAGTGTTTGATTTCAGTTATTAAAGTCCCACAGGACTGAGATGATACTTAAATGTTGCCATTATTTATCTATTTTTAGTCACTTCGGCTGTTTTTATAAATAAACACGTTCCGATCACAAATTTAGCTTTTTTTTCTTTAAATGAAAGTCACCATAAAAATCCAAAACATTGTGCAGATTTCATTTCTTATTGCACGAATTATCCTTTTGGACCTGTCATGCGTACCTATCTACCAAAATATTTATTTGACAATCTGTTGTTGAGATAAATTCGAGGTAGACGTTTTGCGTGATGAGCACTTTATTTACAAATATAATTAAAAGCTCTGACAGATTCATGCTTCCTTTAGTCCTGGGGAAAAAAATAAAGTGCATGCAATAATAAAGCATCATACTGATCTGGTTTGTAAGAAAGTACACAGCTCGAGAGTTGTGTAAAGCAAAAACAAAACAAAAAAATTAAATTTGATAATGACTGGACCTCAAATACAATCTGAAAAGAAGAGAGGACAAAAAAATGTCTTTAAAAATTATTTCTGATTTGTGTGACAGTTAAAATACAATATGAAAATAAGTAAAAGCTCTCCATAAATCCATCTATACATGAAGTACAAGCCCCGCCCCCCGCCCTCCTCATGAAGCCCTTTGTGCCAGCTGGGAGTTCACATGTCGTACGGATAGTTATGTTTCACGTTTGCTGCCAGTGCAGTGAAATCACATCGATACGTGGAGTACCATGACTCAGCTACGCTTCGGTCGTCACAATCACCTGAAAGAACCACGTGTGGAATCTGTGCACCGAGAAGAACGTTGCGAAGTTCGTCTCTCGAAGTATCAAATTATTCAAAAAATTTGTCCTAAAAACGTCCTGGTGCAATAAATACCAAAAAGTGTTGAAAGGAGCAGCAAAGACCAACGGCTGCGGAAGGATTGGTTGTTTGATTTCAAGAGATTTCCTTTTTTTTTTTTGCACTGTTTAAGATTAAGAAAATAAAAGAAAAAAGATTGAAAAAAAAAAAAGAAATCACCTGCAAATGCATGGTTGCAGAGTGATTTCTCTGGTAGATCTACCCTCGTTTTTTTCCTCTCCTTCCTTTGACTTCCACTTTCAGTCACATCAAAAGTGTTATCGTTGCACAAGAAACAAGAAACACCGACTATGTTATCATTAATCTTACAAAAACTTGACAACTACAGACTTTTTTTTCTATTTTTGTCGTCTCGTGGTGCCACAAGAGGGGGAGGAAGTCTAGGTGGGTGTTGGGAGCTCTCAAACCTGCCACTGACCCCAGGCCGAGCGGCCCGGAGAACGCAGCGGAGCGTACTGTGAGGGTGAAGAACCCAACACCGTCGGGCCGGGTCGGCTCGAAGGAGAGGAGGGGCGCTCCGAGGAAGATGGTCGTCCGGGGACTCTCACCCCCCGCCCACTTCTCATCTGTAGTCGTCCTTGGGAAAGTCCAGGGTGCCCAGGTTGCTGAAGCCCAGGCGCATGCTCTCCATGTCGAAGGTGTCGATCTCCCGCTCCTGGCGCTCCAGCAGGTGTTTGATCCGGTCGGTTCGCTCCTTCTGAAGGGAACCCAGTTCCTCTTCAATCTGAGGAAGAGAGGACGTTATCTTTATTAGATGTGTTTACGTCTTTTTTTTTCTGCATTCTGTCTTAGGTTTGGCTTTTTTTTAACTTCCCAAAATCTAACACAGATTCATAAGAGTCATATAAGCTATAAACAAGATTTTTAAGAAACAAATAAAAGCATTCATCTTCTAACATACAAAACTCCATCTTATATCAAAGATCTTATTGTTCCATACTTTCCTAACAGAGCACTTCACTCTCAGACTGCAGGCTTACTTGTGGTTCCTAAAGTTTCTGAATGGGAGGCAGAGCTTTCAGTTATCAAGCTCCTCTCTTGTGGAACCAACTTCCAGTTTCTGTCAATGAAGCTGACACTCTGTCTACTTTTAAGATTAGACTGAAGACTTTCAATCCTATAGTTAGACTTAAGTTTCCTGAATTATTTTTCATTTCTGCTGCTGTAGACTTATGGTGCGTTCACACCGAACGCGATTTCAGCATCAGGAGCAGCAGATTTACATACAAAGTCTATGGTGGAGGCGCTTCAAGCAACGTCGGGAAGTTCTGCGGCGCCTCAAGCGTGATTAGAGCAGCGCGATTTGAACGATTTGAACGATCTGAGCGTTCGACGCGCTGAGGCGCAAATCACTGAAGTTAGAAAATCTGAACTTTTGCWGCTCGACGYGCMGCRTCAACCAATCAGAGAGACTCCACTGTGTGACGTAGCGACATATTTCCCGACGGGACAGTTTACTGAATGATGTCCACTAACCTGAAACAGACAGAGCGGAGCTCTTTAGCTGAAATGAGTGCCTGCAATCGTGTCCTGATCCGCAGCAATGCGTGACAGCGACTCATCAGACTGGAAAAATAGTCCTGAAAAGTGAGCTGTGAGCCTCTACTCTGAATTATCTGGTGAATTAATTATGAATTAATTATCTGATGAACGTGACATGCTCTTACTCTCTGTAAATAAAGCAAAGCCACTTCCTCGTCCGACATTAAACAGAGCCCGACAGAGGAGGGAGGGGCGGGGAGGCTCTGCCGTGCAGCGCTTCAAGAGCTGACCTGCGTCTGACCTCAAAGTGCACAAGCTTCAAACTTCAGCGTTGGCTGCGATTTTGAAGCTGAAATCGCGTTCGGTGTGAACGCAGCATTAGACTGCTGGAGCACAAACTGAGCACATTTCTTCACTCTGCTGTTGTCTTTAGTCTCTGTTCTCTACATCCATCCATCCATCCATTTTCTGTACACGCTTCTTCCTTTTCAGGGTCCATTATTTCTATCAACAACATTTTTTCTTTGGACCAGTTCTTCTGTGTTTGTCTCCATTTCTTTCCTGTCCTCAAACCCAGCCGGTCGAGGCAGAGCCGCCTGTCCTGA